CTATTAAAGTTGTTGAGTACTTTGAGAGTTTTGATGCGGAGTTGCACCAATTCTTGTCAATATAAGTAACGATAACTCTTGGGCGGTCGGATCTAATGTGGTAGTAACCGTTGAGATTAAGAACTTCATCATCAATGCAACAACGCAACCAAGTTTCTTGCAACACCATAAAACCTGCATTTATGAGTTCACTTTGCTGTAAAATGTTTACTATATCATTATTTTTCCCGAGAAGTGATCGTCTCTTGCTGGACAGCATCAGCGGAATTTGCGCCTTGTTTACGGGACGGCGCTTGAGTCCTGCATGCCAACCAGCACAATGCTTCTTACTTTTTCCTCAGTTTTTCTTAATACTACTTTTGAGGATGTTTCTGGTTTTGTAGCCGTACTCAACTATAGGCGACTTTCGCACCTTGTCTCGCAAATATATCAAATCCTCAATCCCGAGTATGACGGGATCGATTCACTTAAACAAAGAGTAAACTAATTTTGTAATCACAAAGAATCCGCAAAGAGTAGTGTAACATACTATTCCGATGATAACAGCAACGGTCGATTTTGAAGACCCCGATGTTATTCCTGTTTGGTTTTTGGACTGTTGCCCTTCCAAGACACCCAATACTGAGTGGAACTGGGCTTCTCCTGTGAACCGACGGTGGTTTCACAGAGACACTCAACCGACTAGTTTGCTCTCTGGCTCCAGATCAGGAACGGTTTTACTCGCTTCCTACTCAGTAGTCTCCACATGAGGGTTTCCGGGCAAAAACGGTTTATTGCCTTGTTAGGATATCCCACGGAGCGAGTGACCGGATTGTGTGTATTTTGAGACCAACTCACTCCCTGCTCCTGAAAGAAACGAAAATTTCCGGCGCTTCTCACCCAATGTGCCAGCTGGTTGACGGCACTCATTTCTGAATTTACTTGTTATTGCTACTACATTCATTAATAGGACACGTGTTCCTACACACGGGCTTGCGCTGCTGCCCCTTTCAACACGTTCGTCACTTGTAAATTGGTGTGACGTTATCCCAAGGCATAGCAGTGCCCAGGGGATAGATGCAACCTGCCTCGTCGTGACATACGCATTTTCACCAGCTGACTGGTGCGTGATTTGTGCTCATTGGACTTCGACGAAATATAATTGTGGGAGTCATGTGTTGCAGACGTCTCTGAGATGGCAGCTAGGCTGTGATACTTTTCTTGCTGGAAACACTCTTTGGGCTTTTAATTTCTCCACCGACTACTCCCTATTTTTGCCCCACTGTTAGCGGCACCCTGTTTGCTTTAGCAACTGACCTGATAGCTTCGAACGGATGAGCATCGTGCCAGCATTCGTGTCTATTGCACTAAAACGTGACCTGTCACCTACTCTTGTGTAGCACAACCGAGACATCAAAACGTGCTTCGTTGCTGTTGCAAAGTACGAAACTCCAGCGCCCACAACATGTCATCACTCTGCGCGTAACATACTTGGAGGTTGTGTGGGCAACTAGCAATGCACTACGATTCGAACTTAGGTTGGACTGTGCAAGTCAGTAAATTGAGCTTAGCCTTTCAGGTCCCTAACGGTGACAGCCTACTCCATGCAGTCCGAAATCACTTTGAAACCACTATTGCTCTGTGCCTCATCGACTTGGCCACCCTCTGCTGAAGCGACTAGGTAACCCCTTCTCTGTGATCACCGGTGCTTTTTTGCACTGCTCACATATCTGGTTGGCTTATCGGGTTAGTGACGATGACGGCCCACCAGTCTGGTCAGGCGTCCATGTACTCGCCGAATTCAGTTGCCGACATAACATCAGAAGTAGTGACATCGACGCTTTTTAATAACTAGTGTTTCTCGTGAATTTTGGCCTCTACTTACATTTCAGCATAAGTACTGATTGGCTCATGTCAGTGCCTCTGTTCTGGCCACATGTGCTCGCTCTCCTGCCTCCACTTAAACGCTGTACCTCGAAGGTGTTTACTAATCAACAGGTTTCACAATTTACGAAGGTTCAATGTCAGTGTAAATTGCAGCGTCGGTTGTCATTGAGTAATGACGTGAGCAGACCGAATGCGGATTGGGATAGACTTCACTGGCTTATGCAAAGCGAATATGGAGCCGAGTGTGGCGACGATACGGGCCTAAACTTAGTCTCACGAGGCTGAGACGGGAACTGAAGACCATTTAAGCTAAAATTTGCTCACGGTTTGAGCGAAAGAAATAATAGGTATATTCCTACTGCTATGATCCTATGATTCAAATTGTAGATAGTAGATAACTCACGCTTGAAATCGTAATGAAAAAAAGAAAGACAGAAAGACTTGCGCCAGTGTATGGAAACGCGGCGTAGAAGTTGCTTAATCGGCAGTATGTCAAATATGAAATGCTTTGACCTTGAGGACTCAAGGACGCTAACAGCACGGTGAAGACCTTACATATGTAGCGTAAACAAAACCGTATTGATTCATTTAAACTGGACCTTTTTTTAGTGCCTGCTTTATTTCCCTTGATAAATCAGTGTGTAACGAATGCACACTGAACCAGATTGTTTAACCTTAGCTACGTTGGTATATCGTATTTATATACCTTAGAACTAGTCAACGTTTTCTCTTGTCGTGCAGCTGAATACACGCGTTTCCGTCTCGCTCGTTTATTTTGGTTTTACGCTCATTAAAGCGTCCTTGTTGTCTCCCAGCAGTTGATGCGTCTGTAATCCGTTTGTTGAGCTACGCGTTTACAGTCCGGACTTCTCGTCCCTACCTCGAATTTGCCCTACTGAACTTACATAGCTTTAATAGTCCAGATTTTCAAGGTACACGGGTGTCAAATTCCGTATGAGAATGAGAGCAGGGTTCGCGATTAAGGATGTCATGTCCTTAAATAGAAGTCTGATTTTGGACTTCACACCGATTTTCTGCCCGGCTTGGGATGTCGAAGTTATTGATTGATTTCTCGGGCTTCGACCAGTTCGGCCGTGGTACACGAACTGTTTCCTCCGGGATATCAGCTCTCAGATGTTCATGAGGCAAAGAAACAAAACCTGACTACGATTCCTATAACTGACCGGGGCTGTTGGTGTATGACGAGATGCCGTGGATAACGGAAACAGAAGATAGACGGACGAGCGCTGAGCAGCAAACTATGGAGGTAATTTTTGCCGGTCCGGCATATCAGAATTTTGTGGTGGATATTTTTAATTCATTTGGGGTGTTAACGCGTACGCGTGCTATTGCAGCAGCGGAACAGGGTTTTTTGGCCCTGACTGTTTTCCCGAAGAACAGCGGTGGCCGCGCCCATCTGGCTCCTTGTATGGCAGCAAACAAATGTCATCTTTCCGATGTCTCCCGCCGTTTCCATTCGTGAGAAGATTTCCTTTGAGAACCCTGTGATATCATTCTCATCCAAACTACTCAGATGCACCACACTGCGATCGCCCACTGATCCTCCTGAGATTACAATCCATTCTGGCCTCAGTTCGGGCAATTGTATTGTCAGCCGCTATTTTATGCTTCATCCGGTCTCTGGAAATAAATGTACTTACCAGCAGCTCAGCATTGTAATTCTCTTTAGTTTGAAGTTCTCTGTAGCTTGGTTGATTTCTGATTTTGCCTATACCTGGCGTTGAGTGTTACACATGAAACTTTTTCTGTTCTGGAATTGTTCCCATTACATTCAGATATGTGTAGGGGCCTACAGTTTACTATTCCCTGAGGTCCCTCCGACAAGTTACGCGCATCATTGGTGTCCCATCCTTTTGTTTCCCAAGTTTTTGGCCCATATGATCATGAGTGACTTCCTCCTTTTCAATTCAATTCTTGGGGGGGATTTTAGCTACATGGGTGAACAGTGTAACTGTTTCGGTCGCAAGCAACACCGAGCAGAATGGCAGTTATCGCTGTGCGCTTTGTTGTATGGTTTTCACCTTAAAGTACTGTTGCAGAACTTAGTCAGTCTACCACTGTTTTCGCCATGACGTAATGGCCACTCGAAGTGACCAGTTGGTTTACCCTTCTGGTTAGATCTACCATCTCTTACGATCACGCTACCGGAGACCTTACCGGCCCTGTGGCTCTTCAAAGCCTTCCCTTTGTGTAAACCGTTGGGTATGATGATGTTGCGGATTCGAAATGGCGTTTACAGTGTTGTGGTACGGCTAGAGTTGCTGGATAGATTAAAGACCTGACCTCTGTGCACCGAAAACAATAGCATACCGATTGATAACTGCGTCGTATCTGATGAAGAGCATCGGGTGAGTATTGCTGCAGCTCCTCATTTGGTGTCTGGCAACAGATGTGTCTGGTTGAGTGAAACCTCTCGGCTTCCATTCATTAGTCAAGGCAACTAGATCTGTCGCATAAATCATAGTTGATAAACTAAACTGTTTGTCTGTTGTTTACAGTTTTGTTTTTTCCGGTTCCTTTTTGACCACCCCTGTGGGCACTTGGTCCACTCAATTGAAGGTAGGACAGCTCTGTAGTGCATCAACTGCCTTCAGTCCCTTCCCTAGCTGTACCCACACACCAATTATGCGCATTATTCGCTACATCCGTCTCCTCCATTTACCACGTAAGCTGTTTTACCTTTTGCCTAGTTGCGCCAATAACCGCTGAGACAACGACCAGGAACTCACTTGATCAACTACCTACCAACTCTCGCACTGTTCTCCATGCTTTTTGATTGTGGGTGACATCAGTGCTGCTGAACATTGTACAGTCACAATCTACTTACATTAAGATATTGGCAGTATGCCACTTAGTTTCATTGCTTTCAAACGAAAAGAACAACCTCTTGTAGACTTTTCGGAGCTTTGCGATCTGGCATCCTCACCAGCACTGAGCCCTACTGTTGTCCATTAAAATATGCGCTCTGCAGTTCATTTTTCCGTTCCTGTCCTTCATGAGATATACCGTCGAAGACTTCTCACCTTTCGACTCATGTCGCCTGATGCGTGCTGTTACCACAGTTTCTCTTCACCATGTATTTTTATTCGCATTCTTATTTTTCTACCCTGCAGTTGGAGTAAGCGATCCGATTAAACGTACTGCCCAAAAGCCAACTGCGCTTATACCTAACCTCATGTCTCCAATCGGTCCAGTGAGCATTCCGTCTAGGTCAATGATGCAAAACGCAGTTCGTGGACGGCGATTAGACCAATGTGGTTCACCGCATCAGGGCATCGGTTCCTGGCAATCTTCAATCAGCGCCTTCTCTCCGGATCCAACTGGACACTTGACCACTTCCCAAGGTGTTCTGATGGACAGTGTACCCGGAATATTCACTCCAGAACTTTCGTCCACACCCATGGTCTGCTCCAACGGATCAGTCAACCCATCTCAACCCCATCTACCCCTTGGTCAGTACAGACAGCTGCAAGGAAACGGCAAGTCACGCATGTTGCACACCGAAGACGGGATGTTGCGTTTTCTGTGTTTTCTATTAGTCATCTACCTATTTTGCTTCCGTGCCACGTAACACCTACCAACCTGTACGTGAGCGACTAATACACCTGTGGCGCGGTGTCCCTACTATCTGCACTATTTAAGGATGGAGGCGAGGTCCTCTGCAAAGCACTGACCTCCGTAATCGAAAATATCTGCAAGTTAGAGAATGTCCCGGTTAACTGAAGTGAATCGATTATAGTGGCAATATACAAGAAGGACAGTCGCACAGATTGTGCTAACCACAGGGATATTAGCCTAACACCAGTTGTGACAAAACTACTGGCCTCGATTCTCGTTCGTCGCCTTACTTCGAAACGGGAAACCCAAATTTCAAAATAGCGAGCAGGCTTTCGCCCAGAATGGGGTTGTATAGACCATATATTCACTCTGCGGTAGATGCTAGAGCAGCGCCACAAGTACCGCAGGCCGACAATAGCTGTGTGCCTCGACTTCATGACTGTGTTGGACTTAGTCAATCGATGTATTCTGTTCGAAATACTTGTGCGGTATGGTGTTCCTGTGAAATATGTGCATGCTCTATACTCGAACACTACAGGCCGCGTCACGGTCTACGGTGACCTGTCGGGTAGCTTTGCGACCACAAATGGCGATCGTCAGGGTTGTCAGACTTCCCCATTTTTATTTAATTTCGTCGTGGACTCTATCGTGGAGTGTTCCCTTACGGTATCTCATGATGTATGCCTTGAAGTCCTGTCTGGTGATAGGCTAGTTGATCTAGATTATGCGGACGATATCGACTTACTTTTCGACGATGTTGCGGTGGCACAATCAACTCAGAATACTCACCAATTTTGCCCGAAACCAGCCCGCATCTTCTATAGATTTTGGCGAGAGATCACTGAGCTGGTCATACAGATATTCAAACTGAGCCTGCGTGCTGAGCCTGTCTGTCGTCTTCGATGGCAACCGATATTTTGAATATCTGGATGACCAGCTCAGTGATCGCTCGCCAAGATCTATAGAAGATGCGGGCTGGTTTCGGGCAAAATTGGTGGATATCGTGAACCAATTCCTTAATACGCCAATAAGCCAGAGATGTTGCCTGAATGCTCAACCTTGAATAGCCTGTCTAGAGTGGTCCCACTATTTGGGATGTGATTCCCACCTTCAAAGTGCAAAGTGTTGCTGCAGGACTACCAACCACTTTATGACACCTTGACCCTTGCTAACGAGGAACTCGAGGCAGTTGGTCGATTCACTTGGCAGTTGCATCAGCAACGATGAGCGCATAGCAACTGAGGTCAGTTCACGCATTGCAGAAGCCAAAGTTGTCTTCTTGAACCTGCGGCATCTTTGGCGACAGAAGGGAGTTTCCCTCCGTCTGAAAGGTCGTGTATACAAGGCCACAGTGAGGGCCGTTCTGCTCTATGGTAGTGAGACTTGGCCCCTTCGGTCTAAAGATCTGAAGCGTCTTCAACTCTTCGGTCATCGTTGTCTGCGAAGCATTGCTGGTGTCGGGTGGCACCAGCGTCTACGCAACGATGATGTACGTAGGCAAGTACTAGGTAGTGATAATCATGCTATCTCCCTAGAACAACAGATAGCACTGAATAAGTTGCGTTGGCTCGAACACGTGCTACGTATGCCTGGTCACCGCTTACCTAGGAGAGCCTTGTTTAGTCTGCCAGGTGTAGGGTGGCGCAAGGCTCGAGGTGGACAGAAGTTGACTTGGCAGCGGGAAATGAAGTCACTGACGACCAAACTGGGTGCCGTTGGTCCGTATCGCCTTCCGGCCTGGAGTCCACGTGACTCGCCTTGTGATAGGCTCGAGACTTTACAGGACATGGCTTGCAGTAGGCAACAGTGGCGCGTCTGCTGCCGTCTCCTAATCGGATTGCCTGTTTAAAGTGTGTTTTTGATGCTGAGTTATCTGCGGGGTAATGGCTGATTATGACGCGGGGCAGTGAAAGCCGCAAGGAAGTTGTCTCGCCGATGCCGCCTTACCTTTGCACGATAGCCAGCTGTTTGTGACGGTATGTTGTCTACACAAGGTGTAGGCGCCTTGGTCCTGATTGTTTGCTTAGGGCATTAAGGTTTTCAGGTAAGTCCCCCTTCTCTCCCTCTTCTTCTTCTTTATTTTATATGTCATCATGGTGGTATGGCAGCGAAGCATCAGTTCAAACAACTGATGTCTTGCTGTTGATGATGATTGTGACGTTGGTTCGTAGTCTTTTAACCTTGCCGTTCTCTGCTCCTTCATTGCGTTATGCGTACTTTTTGCATTTCTTTCAGTGATATCTACCCAAAATTCAGGTCCGCGTTTGGTTACTGCTCACAGTGGTCACTTCGCGTTGCATCGGTGTAGTGCTTGGATTTTCATACTTTTACTCGTCTCCTATGTCGTTGTTCGGCTAACAATGTGATGCGTCTTCTTTTTTTGTCTCCCCACTCATGCTCCAGTCTTTTCGACTCCTTTTATCTTGGATTCTCACATCCGCGATTCTGCACGACATCGAAGTGGTGGTTCCGTTTCCTCGGAAAGCGGAGTTTCTTCCACAGTCCCCATGGATGATCATCTGTTGCATTCGACGAACCTTTCATCTATACTGGGCACTTCGACCTATCCTGGACGCTCAATGAATTCAGTCCTCTCTGGAGCTCCTTTGACGATATCTTCTGCTGGAATCCAGCAGCAACAAACCTATCGGAGCGCTTCTAAAAAGACCCGTGCGCCATCTGCCGCACAGTTTGCTGGTGGACCCGTCGGTCTGCGTCCCCAACAATATCGTCAAAAGGTCTCTCCATCTGCTCGCACAGCTTCCGATCCGGATACCTTGGATCCTACCCGATCCACGGTCTTACCGGAACGTTCTGCTGCCCTGAACAGAGGTCAGTCATACTAATGCGGTGCAACCACCCGTAGTTTGGGATAGGTGCATTGCATTTTTCATCACTCACCTTGCTGGCAAGCCGATCACAGTCTGCAACTCGCTGGTCTCTGGGCCATGATTGTCAAGTTGAAGATGGACTCTCATCATCATTATAGTTGGCGGAGAATGTGTGCTCATTGTAACCTACGTCCTGATCCTGGTTTCGGGCAAACTTTATCACTCTCTACACACACTGCTTTGTTATTGATGAGCACACTAGTGACTCATCATCCGGTTCATCATCAATATCACATATTTCCAATGCGAGACGATATCCCATTCTTTCGGGCTTTCTCCGGGACCAGCCCTGTTGTCTCGTAGTTGCTCATCACAGCTATGGTTAGTGCTCGATTCACACACAGGATGGGCAATTTGTCTGGCCTAAATCACCTTCCCAGCAATTGGGTTGCTACCTCCTGTTTCTATACCTCTTCGTGTCTCGTAGTTTGCCGCGGTCCCCATTGAAACTGATCTTTACTTCCCTTTGTTCACTCAGAAGTCTTACCGCATGCTACCTTCAGGCCATTTTATTCCCACATCACAACTGATCTCATCTAGGTTGCGCCGACTTGCTGTACCAAGCTGCTATCCAAGGTTACACTTAGGACCTTTATTGGCTCTAAATAGGTATTTTTGCACCACTTGATTCCGTGACCCTGGTGCTCATGAGTTTGCCCTGTAATCCTGAGGTCGCGGGTTCGAGCCTGCTTAGGGGATTGGGCAATCTTCGCAGTGTTTTCATCATTTTGACCGAGGACACTGTGGGTCAGTTGCCACTTTCAGTGCGAAATAGCCCCTCTTCTCCACTAGCTAACGCGATGGTGGTCGTTTGTATCAACACAAAGCATCCTGGTCTGAATTAATTCCGTTGTGTTAACCTAAACAAAACGCGCAGTACAATCAAGTCCCTCCTTACCTAACAGTTTGACTCGCATTCTTTCATGAGTACTTATGGGACTGACATCTGTTCATCTCAACCGTACTAGGATTTTGCACGATGCGATAGAGTACGTGCTCACACACCACTGGGCTATCTCCACTGGAATCTCCCAAGTACTTTCTGACTCACCCATACCGGCCAGGCGAATTGGTCGTGCCACACCAGTCTCGGTCACATCACCTTGTGTAATGTATTGATGATGTATTGATGTGAATCAGCCCATGCGTCCAAATAGCGTACGTTGATTAACCCGACCATATCACTGCTGTATGTGACCAAACTCCAAGCAAATCCCCACCGAACTCTGCAGACGCACTCTAGTCCGGATTCATCACTCTTAATGATCAGGCTATTAAGTATTGTCCTTCATATGAGTACCTGCCACTTGTCTCTGTGACTGCGCTGAGCGACCGGTTGATCCTTTCCTGGCTGTGTTAAAAAGATTCCTGCTTGTTAGATTTCTCCGTGCTTTTGAAATCACGATATCGTTTAGTTTCATTTTTGTATTCGACCACAAGTATTTATGTTGTCCCTCTTTAATTTCGGAGACCTTACTCTCACTTCGTCCTCCACAGATGGTCGTCATCTTGGTATCGGATTATTCATAATACCGAAACAGTAATCTTGTGGTGGCTGTTCCAAGGGACACTCGCACGTGTTATGTGTCACTTTAAATTCAGAATGTCATACACTGGACGATTGAGCACTTTTAACCTTTTCGTGTAATCCAACATTTTGTGTAAGAATTACCAAAACGGGATATAACCGGAAAAAGTGGAGCGAAATCGCAAGCTGGCTTGCTAATGGTTCCGTCTGTTTGATCCAACAAACTAGCCCAATGCGCTTCCATGTTTCCAACAATCTTTCTTGTTCGCCCCTTGCAAACTCACCGGCACGAAGTCCCATGGTTGATAGCAGCCCTGTTTCACCTTATGCAATTTTTTTTACCATGTTGTATCGTACGTGCACAGATTTCCAGGTGTGTGAAGGCCTCTGCTGAAGACCCTTGCGTAGTTCAAGGTAGGATGTAGAAGAAAATTGAGCAGTTCAACCGCTACAAATCAATATTAGGCCAAGCGACCTAAAGCCCGGGAAAATTCTCGGCCTGCAAAATCAACCTTAGCCCACCAGAGGCGTTTTACTCTTGTAGTATTTCACATTCCTGATTCCAGTGATCCAACTCCTCCGATACGCTACGATCATTTCGTCGATTTTACAGAGTCTAATTGATAGACTCCTCGACGTGAGTGAGAACGGCTTGAAAGTGAAGCAGGTTATTCGGCATGGATAGAAACTTGATCAAGAAAGTCAGCCAATTGAAATCACCTTTGTGGACGAAACCAGTCCGAGATTGATCTTATCTCGCCGAAATAGGCTGAAGTGTTTGATGATCCATGTTCGTCCAGACCAGATCCGGTGAGTCGAGAATTGCTCAAGTCTGCCATAGTTGTACTGAAAAGACGAAATGGCGATTGGGGAACAAGTCTCCACATCGTAAATGTTCGGGTCGTTTCCATGATTTCACGAAGCAGGATGAACAAGTAACTCACAATTCAAGCGCGCCCGGCGGTTCCTGCTGCGGCCTGCGTGTAGCCTTTATCAACATGTGCAATCTTATGAACAAGTGCAATTGTCGTTTCGTTGCATCTGAGCGATCAGATGTAGCTGTATGCTGAGATGATTGCCCAGTAAATCTAGCTCAGTGGCTACTCGTGCTTCCGCTGCGATAGACTATCGACTGCACTCGGTGGCGTCTTGCTCTACGTCGGGTCTTCTTTATATGGGAGACTTGTGAGCGTTTGCAGAGGTGACGATGGCCTGTGTGAGCTGCTGTGATACCGAGACCTGCTCGTGGGTGCATTTTAGCGAAGTCCCATGATCCGTTGTGTGGATTGGCTGCCGCAACTTTGAAGCCACATGAGTCGTCCCCATTTTCTACTCATGCGTGATTTCTATTGTCCTCGAGGTTGTTGGCCTAAAGTCCAGCTTATGCCCAGATATTGTGAGGTCGAAGCAACCTTCATGGATTTGGGGTTTGGAAGCGGAGCAGCGCAACACATGCTCAACTCCGTCGTACATAGACTTGCAGTTAACATGCCGTGAACAACACGTGTACGGCGTTCAGATGCTGGAGCCTGAGGTATCAAGCGACCATTCAGGGCTCGTACCCACACACACACACTATACACGTTAGCTAAAGATATGAAACACCTCAGCTACTGTGCCGCAATCTCTAAAAGAAAAAAGCGAATAATATGCAACAAGTGCAAGCCAGCTGATCACCGGTGACGCATGGGCATCGTTCCGGTGAGCTACCTGCCGGCTACTATGCAGCAGAAAAAAAATAATTCACTATGCAAAATTATAAAATGCTAAATAGTGAGATCGTAGTTTTACGGGGAGGCTAACAGAGATGGGGTGGGACAAAGAAGCTCACAGCACGAACGACACTGAGATCCGCTCCTAGCCATATCAACAAGTGTATCCAGCTAAACGTGTTCATCGTCTTTCTGACCCCAGCCAGGGAGCCGAGACGCTCCAACGGAGGCCAGGTTCGTAATGAAGGCCTTCATTCCTCGACCAAATGATCGCTTGACCACCTCTTCTCCCACCCACACCTCCGACGTGCAAGCAACGCACCTCACAGGAGTCACTGGGTTGGCATGCGTAACACGTGGCCGAGCCATCAGAGCCTGGTGTGTGAAATAACGGTGCTGAGCGGTTCGTTTCCTTTTCCTGTGCCGTAAACAAGGCGTCGAACACGCTCGTTGTTTACTCGGTGTTCCCACCGGATGTGAGCTAAATTGCCAAGGCACCGGTGGTCGAACGTACCTAGCCTCTTTACGTCCGCTGATCTAAGGGGACAGGTTTCACAACCGTACAGTAAGGTCGAACGTACCGCTGCATTGTACACTCTACCCTTCAGGGCGAGAGTGATGTCGCACCGGCGCCAAAAGTGGCAAAAACTAGCAAAAGCGCCTCGAGCTTTTGCTGTACACTTCGTGATCTCATCTTCAATCCCACGGGTGCTGATACGACTTCCCAGGTAGTTGAATTTTTGAACGACTTCTAGCTTATCCGCACCAACTGCCGGCGTAGGGATGATCCAGGCCAATCTTGGAGGAACGCTTTACACTTCGAGTGTGCGAAGCAAAGCCCGAAGTGACAGACAGCCAGTGCTAATCTGTCCAATGCCGCTTGGCACGTACCCAGCACGGATCTTTCTTTCCCCTTTTTCCGGTTCGCTGGATCAAACTAACAGCTACTGGAAAACTGACTTCGTCGGTCTTATTCGGGTTGCGAGCCGAGTGAATTTTTCTCTACCGCAAGCTGCATCTGTAGAAGGCTGTTGGACTGTCACCACTTTGTTCTCGTTTTGTTCTACTGAATTGTCGGAAAGTTGGTCCAATCAGGCCACATTGGCTTGACATGTTGCATAATGAATCGGTTTGGCGACGGCGCAAATTGTGGGACAAATTTTTCCTCTCCGGCCCTTTTAATGACCACGAGGTATATAAAAGGCAGCGAAAAATTTGCTACATTGCAAAAGCTAGCAAGCACAGGTATTTTGAAGAACAATGCGCAACCGCTTGCAAAGGCCGCACTTAAAATGATCTTTACTTACGTGAATCGACGCTTCAAGCCGGCAGGTGATATCTGCAAGCTCTAGAGAGCTCGGACGGCCAGCACTTAGCGTGCGTTCGCGTTGGTAGTTCGTTTTGTTTTCATGTTTACAATCTATCAGGTGTTTGTACCGAGTTTTGGTACTGTATCGCGCTTACCGTACTCGGCAGTTTGATTTGAGGTGTGGAACGGGTTGCGTCAACTACTCGCTACCCTTGACTACGCTAAAGTTACTGGCCCTGATAAACTCCACCCACTGATTTTCAAGTCGATATCGGCCATTATCTCACCTGCCGTGACTAACTTGTTCAACCGGTTACTGTCCGAAAGTTGATTACCGATTGATTGGAAATGCTCGGTAGTAAGGCCGATTTCGAAAGCCCGTGACCCTAGCA